GGCCGGGGGGTCTTTGCCGATGGACTTATGTTCTCTTCAAGTGGGTTGTGCATTCCCATTGACTTGTATGGGAAGACCTGAGACCTGATGGAGGGGCGGCCGCCGAGGGATAGGCAAAAGGGGCGAGTGCCATTGGCGTTTCAACAGTAACGCCTCTTGGACAGGCCTTATGGCTAGTCCGGGGCAATTTTTTAGCACCCGGCCCCTAGGGCCTGTCAGCGTGGTGCACTGGCACTATTCCTTTATTTATTGCACCTCATGCACGATTGGCACATTTTTGTGTTTTTGTAAATTTTGACCCACAGATTGCTTAGGGTGCGGGTACCTTCGGGGCCTATTCCTGATGCTTGGGAGGAGGTTCTGTGCCCTAATATAGGGTTCTCTGCCTCCTCCCGAACCAGGGAGTCTCTCTTCGGGAGAGCTCCCTACCTAGTACTTGGTGGGACCTGTTTCGGCAGGTCCCCGAAGGATCGGGGTCCGCCAGTCTCCGGGCTGGTGGACCAAAGTATCTCAGCCCCTGTCAGGAGCCTTGCGCCCCCCGGGGGGTCGGGAATTCGAGGTCCCTTCTTTATTGAAGGGCCTTGCACTCTTGTGCACGTTTTTGTGTGCTGTGATTTCACGGTTCACTTTTTTTGTTCACAGGGGGAAGTTTTATTTTATGATGCACGTTCTACAGTAGTAGGGCACAGAAAGAGGCTGGACAAGCAACCTGTGCTGCTGAAGTAGTTCATTGGGGGGCACTTTTTGCCCTGACCTTGTCTTGCCATCGGCTCAGTGAATTCTGCACGATCCCAGAGGTGCTCAGACTGATGCCACCAAAGCCCGCCAACAGGTGCCCTAAATATGCCCGCAGACCAATCCAGATCTGCCTTGTGCAAGATACAGGAATGGAAGGTTTGGGTTCACTGTGGAGAGGAGGGGGAGGGGCGGCGACCTATGTTCCGGCCTCTCATGACTATGATGCTCAACCAAATGAGATTGTTCCCAATCGGTTGTCAGACTTAAAGGGTTAATCCTCGGTTGACTGCCTGCTCTGCTCACAATGGAAGTT